ATATATATAACAGTATTAACATTATTTGGCAAAGTTAATGATATTTAATTTTTTAAAGAAAGGTAAATAAGCTAAAACAGTAGTTGATTAAACTACATTAATTGAAGTTAAGTTTACTGAATGTCAGGATGTTACACTATCATGATATTCAATTATTTTTTGTGAAGTTATTCCATTAGTTTGTTATAGATATTATCGAACATTTAGAAAAAAATCCTTTGATTCAGCTAAATTCGAACCAACGACGTCTTCTTGCAAACCGTGGCGGACGCTATGCCAACTAAGCCACGGAACGAATGAGCGGACTTTACGATTTTTTTCCATGTGCTTGTTGCAGATCTTTCTTTTGGTTTTTTAATGTCTTTTTTCCGTAGCGCCATCTGTGAGAAATCTATTTCTTAACTCAGCCTAAAGGTACCTAAATAAATTAAATAAGGTCGCAAGTAAATTCATGCATCAAGTGCCATGGACACACACATAGACAACCACAATTTACAACCAAACTCAACGAAAAATAAATACAAATATTTCTCTCGGCCTGGGAATCGAATCCGGGACCTCTGCGTGGCAGACCAGAATGGTAACCAAACGATTATCACTAATTTCACGCTTCTTACCACGGTATGACTTCTTTTTATTTTCACGATATTTCGGAATGGTTACACGCTCCATGGTTACGGGATGACTGGACGGCGGCAGATGACAGCTTTAAGAGCAGACATATCTGTCTACCCCACAGACCACATAACTATCCTCTTGCGCTGACGACTACCTTAATCGCGATTTGTTGTGACGTTACTATTGTCACTCTTTTTTTTTTCACATAAACCACACTCAATGTGTCCACACGCGAAACTGAACTCGAGGTGTTCTTGTTTTTATTACTGCACGCATTGCAAAAAAAATCTATATCGGCCACGGAGGCAATGAATCCATCCGGGACAAAGGATTTTTTTCTAAGTGTTCGATCTTTGTATTAATAAATTATACATTAATTGAATTAAGTGGGTTCAACGTAGCAGTAGAGCTTTACCTATTTCTGCCGCCAAGCAATAATGTGAGCATCACTGCCTTCCGGTTTAGAAGGGTAAGGGTGCTAGTGACATTACAGGCATAAGAGTCTTGTCGACGTATGCCTCAAGGAGACGGGCGCAGGGACAGTGCCCCTCAGATCTTTGCGATTTAAAGCTCTTAATGGCACTGCAACGCTTGTGGATAGGCGTGTCGCTTACCACCAGGCACACGACTTGTACCTTGCGTTGCGTTTAATAAAAAAGCATGAAGCTCGACATTGTGTCGGGTTGGGTTTTTTCGTTGTATCCTGCAATTTAATTGGGGCTCGGGGATCATTTTGGAGTGGACTCAAAACCGCACATTCACGATTTTGGGTACTGTGGTGCTAGTGCTCGAAAAGGCTAAATAAGTATTCCTTTGTACCATCTTGCTGGAATTTGTAAATATCAAACATTTGCAATGATTACGCAACCAAATCAAATAGAATTTTGATAATCTTATCAGGCTTAGACATAATTCTTCGTATTTTGTGTTTTCTTAATCTTAGGCTCATTATCTGCTAAAACGGAGAAAATATTGTTTCATTTTTAACCCGCGACCCAAAAACGGGGAGTTCTCCACTATGTTTAGAACTTGTGTCAAAAATGTTTAAATTGTTCCATTGGATACAGATAAAATATAACCCACATTCTCTCTAATTCTTGTAACTCTATCGACATTTTTCTGTGAACAATGGAGCAATTAATATTTTTGACATAATTTCACTTATGCCATTCTTCCACGAGAGGTGCGAGTTTGATGAACGTCTGTTTAGCGGTTTAAAAATCATCATCCCTTTTCTCAGTTAGTATAAGGTCACGAAAAAAAAATTAAAATTTGAACTGTTTATTTAAAAAATTAACTTATCTACATAATTACAAGATCTTACAGTTAAAAATCTTACTTAGATTATGGTACTTTAGTGAGTTACCTATCTCCAGCGACATAATGAACAATTTAGTGAACTTATCATACTTTTTTATAATAATAATTAAGTGACGGGACGAACAAGTTGTGCGCCTGATGGTAAGCGACGCCCCTGTCCTAACAGTTACAGTACCACTCAGAGCTTTAATTTACAAAGATCTGGCACAAAAACACAGTAGGTATAAATGTAACAATATTTCATTTATGATCTGTAACAAACACGTCCAGGAAGTACTACCACCTATTTCTAGCGCCAAGCAGTAATGTAAGTATTACTGCGTTCCGGTTTTGAAAAGTGGTGGTGAAATTACAGGTACATGGGACTTGTCAACTTATGTCTCAGGGTGACGGGCGTGATGGTAGTGCCACTCAAATCTGTAGGATTTAAAGCATGACTTGCTCGTCCTGTCGCTTAGTGTCATAATAGTAGTTTATGTGACTGTTACATACACTGCTTTAGCTACACATATTTTATTGTAAGTTCTCTGTGATGTGTTCAGGAACCGCATGTTACGACTGGCGAAATGGCGGCAAATAAAAACGTTTCTCACACAACCGTAGTTTTCATTTTTAATTCATAGACAAACTACAATCGGCCCCAAGTATTATATCGTTCGATATCAAGTAACGTGTGAAATTGTCAAAATTGTTTGCTATTGACATTTCATTTCGAATAAAACTTCATCTCGACTGATATTAGAATTGAGGTCAAATCAAATTGTTTGTTTTTCAGAGATGTTCGAAATTTGAATGTAATAATAAATAAACATTTTCACAGATAAGAAATTTGTTCTAACAAAACTGTTTGCCTTTATGCTTGTCGTAATTTGCGGTTTTTTATAACATTATAGACAGTTTATGATATGTGTATAGACAAAAAAAATGTATTATAAAGTTTTTATATAATAAAAATCGAATGAAAGGTTTTTTATAACCTGTCTGTCTTCTTTGAAGACGGAGTAAAATGACAGTTTATTATTTTTATTACTAGTGATTACAGTCGACAAATGTTCTATCGATCGGCTATCGACTACGAATATTGGTCACGTTTGTGGTATAACTTGTTTCATTTGAATTGTCAATTTTTGTAAGTTCATACATACTTACACTGTATTCAGAACTATGTTATGAAAAATATAAAAAGGAGACATATTTTAAAGTTATTTAATTTTAATTCAATATCGATAATCAAATCTGGCTATTTTTATTAAAATGTATATGAATGAAAATTGATCTCGATACTTGTAGGCCAACTGTCAAAATAAGAACAAAAAAGATAAAAACGCTATTAATAATCATTAGAACGTCGTAACATTCACAATTCAGTCATTTTTGGCAAAATTTTATCTTATATATACATATATAAGATAAAATCATACTTTAAAATTAAAACTATAAGACATATCCGTCTATCGAAAGTTTATTCCCCTCAGTGGCTTTATCACTACGGATACAGTTTCCAATAAATTGTGTTAGTGCTCGGTCATCTCTTTCGGTCGAAACTTGACATACAAGGGATCCTTCGACCTCAACACCATATCGGCCATTAGGACCACGTCTTGCGTCTTCGTGACTGGATCCAGGTGGAATTTTCGCAACAATCCTGACATTATTGTCTTCATTTGTAGCATGGCGAATTTTTGACCTATAGGATAATTTTGTAAGGTTATTTGCGTATTTTTTTTACATAGTATGCCAACAAAAAAGGTAATTGATATGTACAAAGAAGTATAGTTTCATTATGTCCAGCCAAACATTATAAAGGCGTGTTTATTCGATACGAATTTTACCGCGCTCACGCCGCGCGGAGGCGCGTGGTCGCCTAGCAGCGACCTCGTGCATCTAACTGTCATGGAAAAATACTCTCTATTTGTTTAGCTTTTACGTTTTGACTTAAATGAGAGTCCCGGGCGCGCGAGTGAGTCTAGTCTACGCGGCGAGGAATTCAAATGTTGTTGCCTAGTAAATAGAATTCAGATTCGCCATTAAGGTACGTGAAAACGCGGTAACTGGGCGGTCGCCGCGCAGCGGCCGCGCGGTAACTTTCGCATTGTGTAATTGGGCGCTAAGGCATACGACTTAACAAAGGTATAAATAAATATTAAATGACTTCACATACGTTGCTCTGTTCCAAAGTAAGAACTAAACCACGTGTATCATTGTGTGCGTTATTATTATCATTGAAATCGAAAACAACGACAATTACACAAACACCCAGACACCAGGCAATATGGAAAAGTTAGTCTTCTACACTGACCCGGCCGGGGATCGACCCGGGACCCTAAAGATGACACCGTGAAAACAAAGCCAGACAAGCCATTCGACCATGGAGGTCGTCTTAAAGTCTAAGTGTAGGTATTACTACGTTTACTCAACGATATCTATGTAACTGAAGTAACACATTCCAATTTGAGACTAAACCAGGCGTAACATGTTTTTTTATATAATTATCGCCATGAGCGTGTATGGATTTAATAAGACTGTCAGTAATTTAAATATTTGTCAAAATACTATTATTTTGTGATTATTACTATTATATATCTCTTATATATCTTTTATAAGCAAAAAAATCATTGGTCATAATAATTTGAATAACGTCAAAACAAATAAACAAATTGCAAAAATTTGATATTGAAGTTAGGGATTTGTCATTTATAAGTTCTTTATATATTAATACACACATTCTACTCTATTCCTTATAGTGTGTAAATTAAAACGTGTATTTCGCTAAAAACAGTTTGTGATATCTACGTCCTTTATACAGAATGTCATCGTTAAGTGTATCCTGGCGAATATTTCGTAAATAGAAGAGATATCAAAAAACATTTCACTGATATCGAAAGCACGTTACTTAATGAGTAAAACGACATAACAACTTTTTAAAAATTAAACTAATAAAATCCAAATTTTAACGTTATACGCTCCCATACATTTAACAATTCGTAGTGAGGCTTTAGTTGACTTACTGTCAGAGGTAACAATAAGTTTACGTTAACGAAATAATACTTAGTTTACGTTAACAATAAGTTAACGAAACTAATTGAACGTGACTTACAATAAGGAGGTAGAGGACATCAACTTTAGCAATGTATATATTATGCTATTTCAATTTAAATAAAGTATATATTGCAACTCTCTTCGTCTCAGAACATTGAAATAGCCCATTTAAATTGTAATGGTATAATAATAATAATTCAATTATTTATTTAAGCATGAATCCCATTACATTACACATTTCATAAACTTTGGAAAACAATAAATAGAATTAAAAATTAAATTAAAGTTACTAATAAAAAAAATATCAATATGTTATAAAATTAAAATACAATTATTAAAATATTAAAATATGAAACATATTGTAAATTTTTATTGAATTAATATTCAATTCTTTTTTTGTGAAATTACTGCACTAGTTTGTTATGATTATTTATTAATACAAAATAATAGACAAAACTTTTATGGATTTGTCATAGATGGCGCTACGACTAAAAAGTCATTAAAAAACCAAATACAAAGACGCGACAACAACCTCATAGAAAAATTCGTGTGGTCCGCTGGTTCGTTCCGTGGCTTAGTTGGTATAGCGTCTGGCACGGTATGTATGGAATTTCTTTCTGCGTGTTCGATCTCTGTATTAATAATTATATAAGAATAGAATAGAATAGAATAGAATCCATTTATTACATAACGTCACAACACAATAATACACATTAAAAAATAAAAAGTAAAAAAAAATAAAAAATAAAACAGAACTAAATTAATAGAAACAGAAAATAGAATAACAAAACAAAACTAAATAAAATTAATTAAAATTAAATCTTAGTAATAAATAATTAAGCGACCACAAAGCTAGTCAACACTATTGTTGTACTAAGTACATGTCATGTGTGCGGCTGTGGCGTATGTAATAGGATCCACTCAGCTAATATCACCGCCGGGAAAAGGCTGTGTTTTCAGTGGACCTTAAAACCGAGTGAGTACCGGACGTGTGTGTCGCGTTTAAACTAAAATAAATTACGTATATATTTCTGTAATGTAGTATGGTGTGTTCTCTTATATTTATAAAATACTTAAATAATTCATTTGATACATACATGCAGTGATAAGCGTATGCAATGTAGTGTCTTTTATTTACAACAAACAAAAATGGGACTTATGTAGTTTAAAAAGATATCGATTGCGAGATTTGTGTCACATACATATAAAACATACTTTGGAAAATTTAATGTCCTCTGCCTTGCCTTCTATCAGTTGCGCTGGCCATGAGATTGTAAAGGCGTGTTTACACAGTCGACCGCGCGCCGCCCGCATCCCTTTTGCCACCACGTCCCTGGCGTCTCTCACTGTCGTCCAGTTTGTGGCCTTAACGTTAAAGAGTTCCATATCTACTCTTTAAAGATTCTAATAATAATGTACGACTTACCAATGCAGTTTCTTGGACCAGCACTGAATGGTATATAAGAATATGGATGACGTTTCACAGAATTCTCTGGTAGAAATCTTTCAGGGATAAATTCTTCGGGATTCGGAAAAATTTCGGGATCATGATGTATATCGTAAATCGCAATGTGCAAGACTACGCCCGGGGGTATCGTAAAGCCACCTGTAAAAGAGAACCACAGTTTAACGTTACATTCATTTAGAATGGGTTACATGCTAATCGATATTAAATTAGTTTGAGCCGGACAGAGTAAGCCTCATGTCTATGCAACAAGTACGATAAGGACGATGTGCACTAAGTACGTCTCATAACACAAAACTCATAACTCGTAGGCCACAGCTCACAGCTCATAGCTCGTAACCAATGGTCGGAAAAAGGTGTTCCACAGTATATAGATAGGAGCAACATAGAGTTGTTAAAACCACTATATGTTAATTAATTACCTTTTCTAATTCCGGATTTCCGGAAATGGTTTTACTGAATTGTAAGACAAATAACTATTGACCTAGGAAGTCGAAGTTAGATTTTAAAGTAATTCTAATGGTGCCATATAAAGAATAAAAAAGTAACGAGAATAACGCTCTCCGCCCCTTCCTAGCTTTAAATACCACACCGAACCTCGCAGATTGACGGTCACATTGCCGGATCGGCAACAAGGCTGTCTGTTATATACTGCACTTTTTAACAAGGCACTATTAGAATTACATTCAAATTCAACTTCGACTTCCTGGGTTAGTAGTTTGTCTTACGATACAGTAAAACGGATTTTTTTTTTTTTTTTTTTTTATACATGACAGGCAAATGACTCCACTCCACCTGATGTTAAGTGGAAAGTGGTATCCAAACAAATCCGGAATTCGAAAATGTAATTAATATATGGTGGTTTTAACAACGCTATGTCGCTCCTTGTAGCTATGTCTATACATGTATCTATATATGTGGAAGACCTTTTTCCGACCATTGTTCATAATTCATAACAAATAACCATTGACTTACAATTATATGGACGTCGGGTCCGCGCTAAAAAGTGTCCGCACTTTTAAGGCGCTAAAATCGTATACAGAGCGCGACACTCCGCTTTAGTCTTCATTTGTTCTACTGACAGCGCGATACTTACAATTTAAATTTCGAATAGGTTGACTTGGGACATTTTTTTCGTGGTTTTTGTATTAGACCCGTCGTCCATTTATTTGTAAGTCAATGCAAATAACACATACCTAGTACTCAAAACACAGGTTGTATAGAAAGTTGACATGTAATAAAATAAGTATAGTTTCACTGTGTCGGGCCAAACATATTGAAGGTATCAATCATATACATTATTCACATGCACTTGAGTGTGCACACATGGATAATAAGACTCAATTTTAGTGATAACAATATCAAAAACAGTAGAGTTAAAAAACCGACTTCAAAAGTCATTCATCCCCAGTTTAGCCACTCTTAGAGGTGGAATATTTTCTTCAAATTTAAATGAGACCACATCTGACGTACCCTCTGTCCAACAAAAAAAGAATCGAGTTCTTAGGGTTTCGCGATTGTTATACATAGGAAATGAAACTATTACCCTTTACAGGTGACCATGGGACCTGTAAAGGGCCCGAAACGTCGGTTTGTTAAATAAATATACGCGATTTAAATCCGGAAAAATAGTTTCATTTCCTAAAAAAAGAATCATCAAAATCAGCTCACAAATCACAATTACAGAAAAAAAGCCGGAGTTATCGCGTAACATGCATACAAAAAAAAAGAAAAAAACATGCAGTCGAATTGAGAACCTCCTTTCCTTTCCTTTTTTTGAAGTCGGTTACAGATAAACGTAACTTAAATGTAAAAACCAACGGCTCACCGCGTAATCGTATAAAGAACGGTCTACATAATATGACCAAAAGGCAATTTGAACACAAAACTCATTCGAAAGGTTAATTTGTTACGACGGGAATTTTAACGAAGTGGCAAAACTGGAAGTAGAAACCTGGAAACACGAATTAGTAATCACAGCCTGGAGTTTAGGCTATTTAAATATAAAGAAATGAATACATACTCAGCACAATATCCTCAGTCGAGTATCTCGCCATGTAGTGAACGCTGGGGTACAACCGAAGGGACTCCTTGATGCAACATTCTAGATACTTCATAGCATTTAGGTCTTCCAATGTCGGCGAACGAGAAGAGCATCCGAAAATTTGTGATAATTCGTCGTTTAAGTTCCTCTGAAATGTTTATCTCCTTTAGTTTATGTAATATACTACGAATCAGTAGATCTCCTTATTAAGGAGTTCGTCCAGGGAAGTACTGCCACCTTTCCGCCTCTCTACTTCTGCCACCAAACAGTAAATGCGAGCATTACTGCGTTCCACTTTTAAAGGGTCAAATGAGTGCAGATGTTCTGTACCATTACAGTTGTGGATAAGTAGATTGATATTCTTTTTACTTACATTGTTGATTACTATAGCCAGAATTGATAAGATATATGTAAAGTACACTTAAAATACATACACGTGGAGGGTACGTATTTTAGGTGACCGATCAGTAGACTTGAGGGAATTATGTTTTGTAACGGAATTAGCTTCCTTCTGAATGCACTTTTGAGTCTTGTTGGATTGTGTTGTTGGTCACTTTTGAACTTCTGGAGTTGTCACTGTCGATGACAAAGAAGAGCATCGGAAAATTTGTAACAATTCGTCATTTATTATACTCTGACTTTTTTTATTTTCTTTCTATAATTGCATAGGAGATATTTACGGAATAAGAAACGAAAACTTGAGGTCGTGCACAATTACGTCTACCTTGGCCAAAATATCCAGCTTGGCAAGCACAACCTCGAAAAGGAAGCCGACAGGAGAATTCGTTTAGGTTGAGCGGCATTTGGGAAGCTTGCCACATCTTCAGGTCGTCAATCCCGCAAAGCCAAAAACTAAGGCATTTAACCAGTGCTTTCTACCAGTTATGTGCTACGCAGCCGAGACGTGGACGTTAACAACAGGCCTCATCCACTATTTCAAGGTCGCTCAGCGTGCGATGGTGCGAGCTATGCTTGGGGTTTCTCTAATGGACCGAATCCCTAACGATGTCATATGTCAGAGAACTAAAGTGACCGACATAGCTCGCAAAATCAGTAAGCTTAAGTGGCAGTGGGCTTGTCTGCAGAAGGGCTGATCGCCGATGGAGCAGACTTGTTCTGGAATGGCGACCACGTCAAGGAAAACGTAGTGTGGGACGACCTGAGCAAGGTGGCCCAAGGCGGCACAAGACCGGAAGAGTTAGCGTGTTCAAGGGGAGGCTTATGTCCAGCAGTGGATGCGTGTAAGCTGATGATTTGATTTACGGAATGATTTGTATAAATGTGAAAGTAAGCGTGGATGACAAAGACGGTAAGGGGTAGAGACTAGCCAATAAAACTATGTTGTTTTCTCCACTATTCATTAGTGTTGATGACCTCGAAAGTCCAGTGTCTAGCACTGTGTGCGCTAAATGAGAAGGTTCCGGGTGAGATTTTTGGTAGGATCAATTTGGGAAATAAGCTTTTCTAAATAGGTTCCCTAGGTAATAGCAACGCCTTGGAATGGATTTGTTGTTGATCATAGTGTAGGGAATTCCCTACACCACATCCACTAGATTTCATAATAATACGAAATATGACAGATAATGAAAACATTAAGTTTAAATTTCAGTTGTTCAATCTACGCAGTTACAGAATAACAACTTGCTGGAGGACAAGATTTAGCTTTAAAGCATTTATTTATACATATCCATAGTGTAGTAGTAGAGCTCCTTGTGAAAGAGTTCGTCCAGAGAACTACTGCCACCTTACCTATCTCTGCCGCCACTGTGTTCCGGTTTTGAAGTGTAAGAGTGCTAGTGAAATTACAGGCATGGGACTTGTCAATTTATGTCTCAGGGTGACGGGCGCAGTGGCTGTGCCCCTCAGATCTTTGCGATTTAAAGCTCTGAGTGGCACTGCAACTGTTATGGACATTCGTGTAGCTTATTTACAGATGCACCACTTATTCGTTCCGTCACTTGATATTATATAAAAAAATCCACTTAAGTTTTTGGGAACATAGACTTACCTGCACATCAGGTTCATTCGCCACTCGCATTATCATAAAGCTTAATGCCATTGCTGTCGTGTCGTGACCCTGTCGACATTAGGCAGTAAGTTAATTGAGATTTAAGTATGAAATTTCCATTCTATATAAGAGAATTTAAAGTTAAAAAAATGTTTACTCAAAATATATAGCACGCCATCAACACAACTATGCCACTTCGAGACTTGAGACACTTGAGACGGCAAAATTAACCTTAACGAAAACAAATGAAGAACGTTAAAATTTTAAATTATGATTAATTTAAAATTTATCTAAAAGCCTTGCTTTTTATCTAAAGATTGCATTTGAAAAAAAGTGAAAAAAAAAGGAGAGTGAAAAAAGTCCAAATTTTGAAATATCATAAAATCGAAAAGACGCAATGATAACGCAAATGTTTTTAAATAAAATGATGTGATGTAAAATTATTTACCTCAAACATAAAGGTGTCAACTTCTTCTCTAATACCATTCATGTCTATTTTACCAACTTTTTCATTCTCAAGTAAGAGATCCAACATAGCTAAACGATGTTTATCATAGACCATACAATCTGCTGTTACAACAACATTGCTATGTCTATAATCTTTTCTTTCTTGTATGATTTTCTTAGTAAATGCGTGGAGATATTGGACCAATTTCTTTTCAGTTCTTGCAAACGAACTAAGTCTATATAACCAATCGAAGTGGTACCAAACTTTAATGTATCGCATTTCTAAGACCTGCCCTAATTGGTGTAGGGCTTTTACGTATTTGTTTGCTACTGCTTCGGTGTATTCATGAAGTGTGGTACCCATTGAAGTTTCTGCAAAGGTATTAACCAAATTACTATATGAAGCGGTAAGCTCCAATAACTTATTACAGTGGTTCCCAGACTTAAAGTGTTTTTCCACTGGTGGGTTACGTATGATTTGAGATTTAAAAAATATGGTTTCATCTCATTCTTCTTTCATTGACATGTACGTATATAATAATGATTTACGGGACATGATACTTTTCGATTTTATAGCTAGACGAACTAAAAAGCACTAATCTTCACATTCATTCACAACCACAGCGCGATCTCGCACGAGCTCGCGAGGGTCGCGATTAATTATTGTTATTAATTGCGAGCTTGTGACAGCTATTAATGGCAATTTTTGGTGAAAATAGGCTGGTAAGATTTCAATTCTCGTCTCGTACGCCTTGCCAGTGGAAAACATCCATATTTCAGTCAGAGACCTTTTACCATAAAATGAAGTTAGTCATGAGTTAGTAAATTGACTTCTACGGTATAATAAAATCTACTAAAATACTGAACGTGGTCATGCGGGAAATATTGCTTTTAATTTTTTTTTTTAAATGATGGATTTTTCGCGGAGCCCCGTCAACTTTTCACACACCCTTAAAATATTTTTTACTTACCACAGATTCCTTGGATCGTCCCATAGGTTTCCAGGTGATCGGGTGAACCACTTTGGGAAACTTGGATCTATTTTATCAAGTGCCAACCCAAGCACGCAAACTTGCTGCATAGGTTCTCGCTTCGCAAATGGTTTATGAGCTACTTACCACACATTATATTCAGTGTAGCTTTGGATATGTGAGACAATACATCGACCTGCTCCTCTTGGATTAGCTTTTCGATTTTGGTAAGGAGCTTTTCCGTCTGTTCGTTGAACGTGGAGGCGAAGCCCTTTAGGATATTGAAATGGAAGGCTGGTGTTAAAAGTTTGCGACGTTGCTTCCATTTGTCACCTACAAAGTTTTCGTTTGAATGTTGAAGTAAGTATATAAACAACAGCTGCACAGCAGCGTACCTATATAGTGAAGGAAATACGTCGTATTTAAAATAGTACACAGGTTATCTGTAAAATAACAACAAATCTAAAAGCGTCAGATGGTACAACTAAGAGCGGTTACACACGGCCACTTTATGCAGCGATGCAGTCACTAGTCTACCTTTACACACGCGCGCGAGTTTAAGCAGTGATGCAATGCAAACGCGATGCAAGCGCGCGACTGTATCGATATAAACGCGCGGTTGCATCGCTACATTTGGGATTTATAGGCGATTGCATCGATGCAATCGCGCGTTTGTATCGATGCAGTCGCGCGTTTACATCGATGCAATTGCCTATAAATCGCAAGTGTAGCGATGCAATCGCGTGTTTCACGAATGTGTGTAACCACTCTTAATCGTGTATATTTGTTTTTTCAGACTAACATTTCGGGCCCTTTACAGGTCCCATAGTCACGGTTAACTTCTTATGTTTTGTAAAAACTTAGCATTTAAGAGTCAATATTACCTCATATCGAATTAAAAATTTTTCCGTACTAATACGGTTTATTTGGCTCGGGTCGAGTGGCAGGGACCCTGGTTTTATTTCCGGATTAATCTTTTTACAAACGCAATTAATGCTATTTGAAAAATGTACATCGCATAGTCTACGTGTTCTGTTTAGTTCAGTTGATATAAAATATGTGAAATACCCATTGAATACAGCGGTACAGCATATATATATATATATATATACATATATATATTTTACTAACTATACATATACATATATATATATATATATATATATATATAGTTAGTAACACAGTCCTGAGAGGTTGTTTGTATGTTACTAATAACTCTGTATGAATCAAGGCTGCATATATCTGGGTACAATAATGTATTAAGCATCGTGATTTATTATCCATGGATCAGTTGAATGACAATAGGTTAGGAAAAATATAAATATAAGAAAAATCAACAAAATGTCAATTATGGCTACAAAATATGCGAATACGGATTGTATAGTACTTAAAAAAAATTAAAAGCAAACATCAGTTACCATTGCTAATGAGCAGTCCATCACCAAGCCAAGAATTTAAGAAATTGTATGGAGTCTGTTTCTCGTTGTAGCGTGTTGTGGATAACACTGTCTGATTTGAAAAAAAAAACAAATACAGTGTTACAATTATAAATACAAATATCGATTACAAAGAAACATTCTTTCGAACCGTCAGGACCTGCGACCACGCTGTAACGTAGCGTGGCTTTGCCAACTGAGCTACAGGTTCAATCAGCAGGTCGATGAAATTCTTCTATGTGTCAATTATAAATCTTTGTATTTTTAGGTTTTTTCGACTTTGAACGCTTTCAATGTCCTGTTGGGTCTTTAGAACTTTTCTTTCTATTAATAATTATAAAAAAAAACTAGTGGAGTTATTTCAATAAAAAATATATAATATCACGGTGGTAAATAAAACGTGATGAAATTCAATAAAAATCTGATATAACATACTGAGTTAACAATTTAATACAAAGATCGAACATTCAGAAAACATTCCTTCAATCCGGCTGGATTCGAACCAACGTCTTCCATGCCATATTTGTCTGGCACGGTTTTTATATTACAAACTAGTGGAGTAATTTCACAAAAATAATTAAATATCATGGTGGTCAAACATGGTGATATTCAACAAATTTAAAAAGTAAGTAAAACATACAGAGTTATTTGTTAAACATTAACTGCCTCTCAAGACTATATATATTTTAAATTTTTATTGAATTGATATTCAATTATTTTTTGTGAAATTACTCCACTAGTTTGTTATAATCATTAATAGCTATATAAATTACTAACATCATAAACAACAACTTTTGTTACATGTTTTTCAATAATTTTCTGATTTTACTTTCATATAAAAATATATATTTTTAAATGGATCGATCTAACTAAATAGTGATAACTTTTTTCGGTAACAAGAGAAAGTGGGAGTCATCGGAGAGGACACTTGCACGTTTGAAGTTAATGTAAAATTCCGATGTTGCCGACCGCGCTACCGGCGACCGCGCGACCGGCGACAGCGACACACGGTGCTCCAGTAGCAGTGCCACCGCTCGTCCCGTTTGTTGACGACGAACTCTTAGTAGATTCAGTATCTAAAAACCCAGCGTATATGATTCGTGAGATATAGAGATAACATAATAATAGAAAATATGTATATGGGAAGAAATTGGCAAAATGAGTCCATCGTCGTTTTCGTTTTCCTTCAATAACTGCTGTGTAACTCTTTTTCTGGTTGAGGATGAATAGTTCGACATAATTGTATTAAGCACCAGAATGCAACCGAATCGTATGAAAACTACGGGAAGATTGGCGGACGGTCGCGGTCGCTTGGATCCGTAAGATATTGTTCGTCAGGCGACAGGCGATCAGGTATGCGACCGCCTTGCCATCACCAGTCGCTGTCGCCAGTCACAGTGGTCGCCGACATCGGAATTCTACCTTTACTACCAAATACAGAGCTAAAAATTGTCAGTTAGTACAACAAAAACTTAAAAGTATCTTTTTTGATAAATTTATTATGTTTTTTGGAAAGTCATGTAACAAAAGTAGTTCTTTATTATGTTTGTTATATAGTCCTGCAAGGTTGTTTGTATTTTATAAATAACGGTGTATATTTTTTGCCTTGCATACTTCGATTCTTCTGCTGCGAGTAGACTGCTTCCTTGGAACCTATTATTTAATCTAAATAATGTTTCATCTATACTTTTTTATCGCACCAAGTTACGGGGCGAACTAGTCGTGGGCCAGGTGGTAAGCAACACGCCTGTCCATAACAGTTGCAGTGCCATTCAGAGCTTTAAAACGCAAAGATCTGAGGGGCACTGTCACTGCGCCCGTCACTCTGAGACATATGTTGACAAGTTCCATGCGTCTGTAATTTTATCAGCACCCTTACCTTTCAAAACCGGAACGCAGTAATGCTTACATTACTGCTTAGGGGCAAAAAAAAGGTAAGGTAGCAAACAGTACTTCCTTGGAACGAACTCTTTCAGAAGGAGTTCTACTGCTACTAATAACTTAATAAATTAAATACATTTTATTAATTTATACATTATATTTATTAAATTTGAACACTATGTAAATGTCGTAAGGTACAATATTTCTTTTTTTCTACTTTAACGTACCTTAGGTTTTGATTAGCCATAGCCAGAAGCACTGAACAATAAATACTGTAGAAGTGGTTAGTTAGCGTCTGACGCGTGCCCACAGTAGGTCTCGTTGACCAACTTGAGCGCAATCCGCCATTTTCGCTTTGTATGGTATGGATGTGTCATTCTTTCGACCAAGTTCTCTAACATCGCAGAAAAATGACTTATTGTGCAGTTTTGGATTGCAAAAATGATAACCGCAGCAAAAATATTACCCTCAGCAGTATTTCATATCATCGGTAAGTCTTATTTTAATAAATTTTCTATTTATCGAATTGATTTTTTGTACTCTAACAAACGAAAGTAAAAAAATATCCCAATGCAATATGGTCGAGTTTTATCTTTGGAGAACTAAGTAAACACCTCAAATTTTCGACGATAGTAGAGAACAAAAGTTTAACGAAAAAATGCTTCATGAGTGTTTTGTTAATTTTACACTGAATTGATCGAAATAAGATTAATTATGTAATGTGTGCGCTAAAGAAGACATCTGCTGTCGAGATGATATTACTTTCAATTCGTTCAGATGTTAATCGTTTGTCGTAGTCGAGCTTCTGGCCGCTAGATGGCAGCATGTTGAATAAAATTTCAAATTATAATCAAAAAGTTATAATACAGCTTGCAGTACAGTTATTGAACTTTCAACGATATAGCGACCGGGTAAAGTTTAAATTATATTAACAATCCAGAATTTGTTACATCTTTTTAAATTAGAAACTATGACCAATCATTATCAAGATTTCGTAGTGTTTATCATTTGTTTGTGTGCGTTTTCTTCCGTGGCTAGAAGTGATGAAAATATCATTGCCCACCGTAGTGCGACATACTCTAAACGATACGTTACGGCGTTTGCATAGAGTTCAAGGTGACTATAGCGTTATGACGTATTTATTAAATATATGTAGAATCAATAAATTTTTATATATAATTTAAACTTACCTCTACATCTTTTGGTTCACAAATAGTAATAATTGTTATATTAATTGCACCCAATTGATGAATTCGTCCGTATTTACGACGCGAGTGTCTTAAAAATTGGAAAGCTTTCTCTGAAAGGTTAAAAGCAGATATTCCGATGATTTTTCATTATCTTCAATGGTAGCGCCTAGCCATACGCATTTAGACACTTCTTTTTTGCTTTTATTCAAATACACAATATGTTTAGATATTTCGGATTTATTTATTACATTTTTTTTTGTTCATTTGTACTTATTTTAGATGATGTCATTTAAGGTATTATGTTACAAAACTTTATAATAAGACGACATGCTTAATGGAATTATTTTAGACGACTGTATAAATAAGACGGCATACCTAAATTATTGTCAACTAAATAAAGGTCGGGGATACCTAAAAGAATTATATAAAAACGGGGATTATTTTAAAAATCAGTACAGTTTTCTAAAATAAATCCAGACCTTTATTTAATTGAAATTAAAATAAAATAAAAAAATAATTAAATAGTTATTTCAGGTACCCCGTCGTTTTATACAAAGGAGTACCTCAAGGATTTATTTTAGAAGATTTAATATGGAAACGTGAGAAACAGAAACTAATTATTTCAGAAAACTGTATAAATAGACGGGTTACCCCGAGGAATTATTTAAAAAATTAACTAACGAGAAGAGAAGACTTAAAAACAAATTAACTGATGTAAGCTAGGGTATTAAGTGATGTGTTTGTAATTGCATCTAAACAATAATAGTATCTATGCCATAGAAACAAAAAGAAGAAACTGCACTTGTGTTGAATATTTTTTCATGCTTTTACGTATTCTCAAATCTCTCAAACACACAACTACAATCAATACCCCTGAGCAGGTGAAATACGCGTGGGGTATAATTTTGGTGGTGGTATTTGTGACTGTAGTTCCGGCTATGTTGTTTATTTTATTAATTTTATGCGGAGAGAAGGTGTGGTCATGCAGCTAACGCAAATGAAGTTCATGAAAAAAACATTCAACATTAGCGCACCTATTTTATACGATTTAACCTTTTTTTTTTGACGGGGGGGAAATCTTTATGGATACCCCTGAGCCCAGGGAGACTGAGGGGTTATGTGGGGACTCTCCCTCCAGACTGGAGGACCTACCCCACTAAAACCCCCCCGGGTTTCCCTCTCGCCGGTTGAGTCGGCGCCGTGGGATCGGTGAACATTCACCACGACGCCGCCCGGGATTATACGATTTAACCTAACCCTCATTGGATTCGCGAAATAGCAAATTAATTTACTTCCATTTTTATTAATTAGGATTTTTGCCAAGTAACCACTGAATCTATTATTATTTATCACATGAAAGTCATAAAAAGGGATCGGAATTGAGGGAGTTAATCTACCGAATTTATGCACGTTTTCTTGTCATGGATATACCCATTTCGTTATCAATGCGTATAAAATTTCTGTTTTTTACTGTTTATTTTCTAAACATTCCAAAATATAGGTCGTGTCATGTTTATTTTTTTAACCGACTTCAAAAAAGGAGGAGGTTCTCAATTCGACTATGTTTTTTTGTACATATGTTACGCGATAACTTGCGAATATAATTATAATTTGCGGACCGATTTCGATGATTTTTTTTTTTGTTGGATAAGGCTACATTTTCATTGATTGCATAAAAGTCAAATTTGGCACTACTTTAAAGTTATTTTACGATTTTCGGTCAATAAAATTATTAAAATGATTAAAATTCCATTTAAAAATTGCAATAACATTCATGCCAATAATTTGTCAACAATACTGTAAGGATTGGGAACTTGTATTAAAATTTCCAAAAAACGTTCATTAGTTAATAGTATTTATTTATTGACAATTGGCTATATATAGCCTATAAAGATAACAAATAATTATGAAACTGACAATATAATTGACTGACACTTAAAAGATATTTTAAATTTTTATTGAATTGACATTCAATTATTTTTGTGAAATTACTCCACTAGTTTGTTATAATTATTAATACAAAGATCGAACACTCAGAAAAAATTCATTCGAACCGACGTCTTCTAGCATACCGTGTCAGACGCTATACCAACTAAGCCACGGAACGAATCAGTGGACCTCACGAATTTTTTCACGAAAAAGTTAGGCACGGAGTAACTTTTTTAATTGCTTATTTTACAGATGAGACCGCCATTTTCATGGCAAATGGCACGTCATGATATGAATTTGCTATGAAAGAAAAGGTGAACGAATTTCGAATGGGGAACGTAAACTGCATGGAAAGTGAATTATTTTTGTGAGGTCATAGTACAAATTTGACAGGCAATCCAACTTACAGGCCTAAATAGGATTGCTCTAAGTGCTCATAGTAGGCCCCCTGTACTGATTTATAATAACTAATAAATACGTAAGCAACTATAGAAACACAACTATAATATTATTTTTTGAGATAATATTTTTTAGTATATACTTAACAGGGAATAATCATTTTGAAATGTCCACGATGTTCTTTAATTTAGCTAAATTAACCCCCTCAATTCCAATAATTAGTCATAAATAATACGAATTATATGAAACAAATTACGTATATGCAAAATTTTATAGCTCTCCTATTCAAGCATAAAATTATCGACTAAATTCGTTCGTAGAACCTTTAAAACTCTACCCTCAAAAGTCGTAATTTTATACATGGGGCCTTATTACACCAAGCAAGGATACGATGTTATGTATTATTATTGTAAGCTTCTATTATAAGTCTTACCCGGATGTAAACCCATAACTTCGAAAGCATTTCCAATAAGCGGCCATTTTCTTGGACCAGGAATTTTTGCCAACTGTCTTCCAAAATAGCCGTACCGATGATACAAACTATAAACAATTAAAATAATAAATATAACACTTATTATTACATAATACATCATTTTTCTGGGTGACAACCACTACTAAAGGCAACAAAGCGTAATATGATTAAAGTCTCATATGCTAAGTATGCATTTATGCGCCGTTGTCCCTTATTACGTTATTGATGTGTATGAAGATACGTTAAGGGTTCGCTCCCACTTATAACGTTGCGGCAGCGTTATGTTAATACTGAACACACATGTGTTTTACTCATCGGGTATATAACCAGAAATAGAGACGAAATAAGGGCCATCCATCCTTGGCAACTCATCAGGCAGGGCCTTATACTACTTTTAAATATCAAGTCTCGTTTGCGCTGAAATCATAAATTAGAAAACTGAAATAGTACAGCGCCAACAACTGACCGGTGTGTACAAATATTAAATATTAAATATGCAATTTTGCAATTTTCGTCCATTATACGAGTAGCAAAGCTCAAGTTATCTGGTCGATTTGAAGTGAAACAGTCGACGACACCCGTCAGTTGTTTCGAACTCGAGCTGGCCAATCGGAGCGCAGTTGTCACAGTAATGATATGGCAGAATAGTTGTAAAATAAATTAAAAAACATTTCGTCTCTATTTCTGGTTATATACTCGATCGTTTTACTAAGTAAACATGTATGTTCAGTATGAACATGATGATCTATGACTAAGGTCAGCCCGCTTCGGCATCGGCGGTGTGCTACTGTCGCTGCAGGGCATAACAACGGCTGATCGAAGATAATCATGCTGTAGCACACGTACTATCATCATATAAGGTATTTTACCACCTTATGAGTTCAGGTAACGGCAGACAATACCGGCCACCCGTAGTATTCGTAGTTTTTGTCAACCAATGACATTTATCGTCAAGTTCATATTTTTATTATTAAGAAAAGGTTTGTACAAAAAAGGGTCAAAAAAACAATTACGGATATTGTATCAAGCCCCGTCGCTTGATACAATATCCGTTTGCAAACTGTTTTCGGGTTGGAGAAGACTTCATCTTTGCTGATAGAACGCACGCGATTGCATTCCGAAGCGTTTAAGCGCAACTAGGACAATAGCCACATATCACAAAATAAGTAATATAGCCGAAATGTGATCACAATTTTAAAACCAATTTATTTCAAAATATCTGTACTGTTCGACGATTTTACACATAGTGTAAAAATACTCGTATATTAATATTTTTCATTATACAAATATTCCGAACTAAATCAGTTATAAAATTATGATCGTATTTTGGCTATGTTATTTCTTTTATGACGGGTTTAAAAAAGAATTGTGTTATGTTAAGCAGCTTTTGTATTTTTTTTTCTCATAACGGTTTTTTCGACTAATTAGTTAGTGAAGTATCTATCTATATAAATAGAAGTGAATGACATTCTGCCGGTTTCTCTTAGTCCCACTAGTGGGACCAGGAGGGACTTGTTTCTCGTGGTCTCACTTCTGTTTATTTTATGGCTACGTAATTCTAAAAACGTAAATCAGATTTTTTTTTAAGAGCGTTGCTGTGTGTAACAATAAATATGGTACGTACAAGTGTTGGTAATATCTCTGACCAGTGGACATCAACCCTTAAGTGCAGTCACCTTATAATAAGAATTAATTATGTCTAAATGTAATAACATCACCACCATTTACTTGTTATCTCTCATTTGTGAGGAGTTTTGTTTACAAAAGTTGATACAGTAAAATTCTTTTTTTTATAATATCAAGTGACGGGACGAACAAGTCGTGCGCCTGATGGTGAGTTACACGCCTGTCCATAACAGTTGCAGTGCCATTCAGAGCTTTAAATCGCAAAGATCTGAGGGGCACAGCAACTGCGCCGTCACCCTGAACGAAGTCTTTCACATACAAGTCGCGCAGCTACGTTTGTATGGAGTTACCCTACGTATCTTATTCAGCTATGGTTTTACTCCACTCTTTTTCCGTTAATCGATTTAAATAAAACTTAGTAAATACACTATATAGCACTATGGGCGTTACATGAGGAGCTCCGGAAAATAAGTAGTAATTATATATTTGATTATATATTTATTACATTTGTGTTACTATTAAATTATTAATTTAATATTTTATTAATTTGCCGCATTCGTGAATTTCAAATTTCCTCAAAGGTTGACTGGTAGTACTTTTAGCATTAAGTCCGCTTTTTGTACCATTCTGTGTTGTGGTCAATAAAGTTTAATAAGTAAGTAAATAAATAAGTTTTCTAATTTGGTTCTGATCTGGGTGTTCTAGATCTGTAACCATAGACATAGTTTAGTGTTTTTAGTTACTATTTATATGTTACATTTTGCATTTGTATGTTTTATGTTTTTTTTTGTGGCAAATAAATGGAATTTGAATTTGGAATGCGAATTTGAATTTGATTTTCTACAAAATATAATAAAATAAATTTATATATAGCTGTAGATTTGCTAACTATGACGGTAAAGGAAACCATCGTGATGAACCTGCAGGTCACAACACATTGAAACGTGTAAAATCTCCGATCCGCATTGTGCCAGCGCCCTGAAATATGGCCTGAATCCCCTCTCCTTGGACGAGACCAAGCCCAGTAGTGGGACTTTAATTGGATGGTGGTGTATAGAAACATCAAACGTATCAGTGAGGGGTTGTCTTCAAAACTTACTTGTAGTACTTTTTCGTAATACTTTACTAAGAATAATAAATGAATATAATGCAATAGAATCATTTATTGCATATTATTAATGTCGTAATATTAACATTTAAATATAATGTAATATGAACAATAATAAATAATATATAAAAAGTAGTATAACTAAAAATTTGGATGCTCTCATTTCCACGAAACTCAAAAAAAAACTAATTTTAGTCGATATACCGATCATAGAATAATAATAATATATTAACGCAACACTCATAGCCCCGCACTAAAGATACCCTGTACGGGTGCCATGGACACACACATAGACAACCACAAATTACACCTAAACCTACGCGAGAAATATGTGGGCCATACAAATATTTCTCCCTGTTTGGGTATCGAACCCAGAACCTCTGCATGGTAATCCAGCACGGTGACCGTTCGGCCACAGAGGCGGTTGTATATCTATAGTACTTGGACTTGGATTCTCGTTTGTTATAGTTATGTTTGCTATATTTGTATAAAGTAGCGAATTTAGTAGCTTTTTTTTATAATCAAGTGACGGGACGAACAAGTCGTGCGCCTGAGGGTAAGCTACACACCTGTCCATAACAGTTGCAGTGCCACTCAGAACTTTAAATCACAAAGATCTGAGGGGCACTGCCACTGCGCCCATCACCGTAAGACATATTAAGTTAACAAGTCCCATGTGCCTGTAACTTCACCAGCACCCTTGTCCTTCAAAATCGGAACGCAGTAATTATTTACACATTTAACATTACTGCTTGGCGGCAGAAATAGGTAAGGTGGCATACGTCCCTGGACGAACTCTTTCACAAGGAGCTCTATTGCTCTAAAATAGGCTGCTATGTAAATACAACTGTGACAGCCACAAAAGACAAAAGCAAAGTTTATTAAGTTGTAGCACTGCCCCTATGTTGTCAATATTCCACGGATTCGCACGAAATGTTTCGCTTCCACATTTCAGGTCAAGTCACACTGAAAGAGCAGGAGCTGCAGCGGCCGGAGGAGCTAGCACGAGGTGCCTCATCGAACTAGTCGCGAGGCTCGCGGCTGTTTGCGGTCCCGCACTATACATTCTATCACTTTGAACTCTTTTCAACAAAATTAAAACAATTTGAGTTTCGCACCAAAAATGCTCCGCCGGGCGCTGCTCTTTTAGTGTGACTTACATCACTTACATGACGAAAGGCTGTGGAGTGGAATTCCCTGCCTGCAGACTAGTTCCCTGAACGGTATAACTTGGACCCTTTCAAGGCGAGAGTGAATAGGCATTATTTAGGCGTAAATTTTTTTAATAATACCAAGCTCTATCGTCGACCCTACGTGAGATTGAGGTCCATACGCACTTATATTTTTAATAAACAATATAGTTATTTGTTATGCAAGGCTGCAAACTTGTTTGACGCGAGTACTTGTATTGAAACCTAAGCAAGCGAAGAACGCTTTAAGAACAGAATCCTGAGCGTAGCGAGGGTTTCAAGGCACGAGACAGAAAACAACTTTGCTGCCGTGCGAAACACACAACTTTTCACCTCACTATAGCGAGAAAAATGGTAGATGAAAGAAAAACAATTGAACTATAAAACATCAGTTCTTTTAATCAAAACAAAAAGTTACACGTCATCAATTTTCTTTTTCTTGCTTGTACTTATAATTTTGTGCGACTATAGAAATTATTTTAGTTTACGTATTAAAATAATTTAATAAACAAAATTAATAATAATAATAACGCACACACTCAATATAGCCCCGCACTAGGGAAACCCTGTGTCGCGGGTGCCATGGACACACACATAGACAACCACAAATTACACCCAAACTCACGAGAGAAATAAGTGTAGGTCATACAAATATTTCGCCCGGCCCGGGAATCGAACCTGGGACCTCTGCGTGGCAGTCCGGCATGGTAACCGTAATTAGTTAACGTTGTCAATTTAATGTCCACAATAATACGAATAAAATATACCAACGGATTTGTATTACACAAATAAGTAGTTAACGACAAATTGCGTACTTGAACCTGTCTTTATGTTTTATTTTTCATCGAAAGAAAAAGTTAGGTGCACCACAGTCCATCGTCAAGTTCGAACTTCAAAAACCTTTTCCACACTAGCGTGGATAAAAGGCTTTTGCGCGCACATTTCTAATGAGAAAGAAAGCCTTTCCGAGCTAGTGAGGTGAAAATATAGGTATATTTAAGCCGTACAACTATATTTCGCATTTTCTGAATAAAGAGTTCTTTCTTAGCGGCGTAGTATAGATTGGTAAGTAAATATTATAATAATAAGTAATATTTATTTCCATTATCACGTCCATTAGACATATCCGTCTATCGAAAGTTTATTCCCCTCTGTGGCTTTATCACTACGGATACAGTTATCT